AAAGAGCCTTGATAATGTTAAATTTTTTAAGTTCACAAAAGGGCTATTTTTTTTTATAAATTCATGATATAGGTAATGTCACAAGGGTGTTTTATTGAGTATAATAATACTAATTACCTTTGAATACATAAAATTGACAGAAAAGGTACAAAGCTTGTTATTTAGATGTTTTATCAAGTAAATCACTGCTTTATGCTTTATGAATGCATAAAATTGTTCCAAAAAAGGCACAAACCCTTCAGTAGTTATTGAGATAACAGCTTACAAGCAAAACTTTACAATGAATTTTTAAGTTGAAAAAGGGGAGAAAAATCAGCCTAAATGCAAGATAGAATTATGGATCTTTGTCAGTGACATACAATTATGACCCTAAATGCATATGTGAAGTTTTAAATAAATATCTTTAATAGTTATTGAGATATATAAAACTTGCATGTAAACATTAACCAAGAGACTAAGTAGAAAAGGGGATATGAATCAGCCTTAATGCAAGATAGAGTTATGGAACTTGGTCAGTGACATACAATTATGACCCTCCAGTTATGACCCTAAGTGTAAAGTTTCAAGTAAATATCTTTGAAGACCTTTAACCTTTAACCAAAATTTCTAAGTTTCAAAGGGGCAAATAATTCTGCAAATATTGCAGGCAGAGTTATGCAATTTTGCAAACTAATGTACATTGTTACTATAAAAAAGTGGTTTAAATTTCAATTGAATATCTCAAGCAATAATTGAGATATTTGACTTTACAAAAACCTTTAACCAAAATTTCTAAGTTTCAAAGGGGCATAATTCTGTCAATATTGTAGGCAGAGTTATCCAACTTGTCAATCTGATGTACCTTGTTACTATAAATAAGTATTTGTAAGTTTCAATTGAATATCTCAAGCAATAATTGAGATATTTGACTTTACAAAAAACTTAAACCAAAATTTCTAAGTTAAAAAGGGGCATAATTCTGTCAATATTGTAGGCAGAGTTATCCAACTTGTCAATCTGATGTACCTTGTTACTATGAATAAGTATTGTAAGTTTCAATTGAATATCTCAAGTAATAATTGAGATATTTGACTTTACAAAAAACTTTAACCAACGCAGACGCCGACGCGGACGCTGACGCCGACGCCGACGCCGGGGCGACTACAATAGCTCTCATATTCTTCGAATAGTCGAGCTAACAAAATGAAATTCGTCTTCTATGTCACGTGAATTACAAATAAGACAATATCTCTCACTACGTTCAGTTCTACAATTACCATACCGTCCAGTTTCTATTCTAAGTTGGTGTGAAGACAATCTTAATTTTGCAAAAGCAATCCTAAATTTCTTAGGAATTTTATCAAGATACAGTGAGTAATCAAATGACGTCTTAAAAAGTCTATATGTGCCTAGGCTCGGGCTAGTTGTTACATTATGATACCATGACTGGATAAATTGATCAATAAGAGTTTGCTTAAATAATAAATGTACATTTTTAAGGTTATAAATACTTGGATTATACCATATATATGACAAACCTGCATTATCTAACAATGATTTCACATTAGACAACCAGTTATTTTTCCTCTATTAATATCATTTAACATTGATGTATATAAGTATCTAACTATAACATTATTACTGTTAACAATATTTGACCAAAATTTGATAATACGTACATATCTGTTTACATATAAAGGGTACCTTTTCAGCTCACCATAAATAGCCATGCTGCTAGTTGACTGCTTAACACACAACATGGACTTACAAAATTTTAGATGTACTCGTTCGATTTCCTTACTTTTACTAAATCCCCATATTTCACAGGCATAATTTAAAATAGATACAACAAAAGCATCAAATAATTGCAAAGAAGTACTAAATTTAACTGGTGTCTGTTTTAAATTGAACAATAAAACATTTAACGCCTTTAGGGCTTTCCCTACTAAATACTCTTGATTTAAAGTAAAACTACCTGTATAGTTGAAAACAGTACCTAAATAATTAAAATTGTCGACTATTTCTAAGGGAATATTATTATATGTCCAATACTCATTATTTCTAATCGGACCCCTCTTACTAAAAACCATAATCTTACTTTTACCTTCATTTACTTTAAGGCCCCATAAAGTACAGTAATTATGTAATGTATTTAAACTATTTTGTAAGTCTTCAGGGGATTTACTTAAAATAACAATATCATCAGCAAATAACATGAGAATAAATGTAATATCATCTATTATTATATAATCTATAAATAGCTTTGAAATGCCTTTCCCTGATTGGCTAACAAGCAACTTTTTGTAAAAAATAACAGGTCAATATCAGAGTATATTCACTGTTTTTTTTCCTAAAAATAGATTTTCAGAGTATATTCACCGGTTTTTCTTCTAAAAATAGATTTTCTGGAAACCCCTAAAAGACGCGAGACTTTGACGTGACGTCACGCCAAGTTTGTTGTTATTATTCTGAAAAAAACGTTGAGTAGGGTGTACATAAGAGTCAAATAAGTCTATTTTAGTTACCATTTTTCATTTTTAAGAACAATAGGGATTAGCATGCCAATGGAAAGGGCCAAATTATAGAAACAGTAGACAAGCTGAAAAATAATGATTTCTGTCGTATGTGATAAGCCATATAAAAGCTATTTATAAATTATATAATAAAACATATATGTACTTTTTAGCTGTTGAATATGATGTGATATGTACTGAAAAATTAATATTGACCTCGGCTATCGCCTCGGTTAATATTAATTTTTTCAGTACATATCACATCATATTCAACAGCTAAAAAGTCCATATTTGTATAATGTTAAACCAGAATTAATATCATTTAATAAATACATTTCTAAATCTTCTAAAAACATAGAAAACAATATCGGGGACATTACCTCCCCTTGTTTAAGACCAATTGAACATTCCAGGAAATCTGAATATGATTTACAGCCCCTTATTCGTGCTTTTACTTTAGAGTACATATCATGGATGATTCTTAAAGTTTTTCCACGTACACCAATATTATATAGTTTAAACCATAAACCATTACGATAACACTATCAAAAGCCTTTTGAAAATCTATAAAGGCGCATGCTAAACGTCCATTTTCATTTAAAATTTTATTAACAACAGCATTTAAAACAAAAATAGCATCAACTGTGGAGCGACCCTTCCTGAAACCAAATTGTGCATCACTAATTTTATCGTTTTCTTCAGACCATTTTGTCAATCTGTTATCCAGAACACCTGTAAATATCTTTGAAAAACAACTAACGAGACTGATTCCTCTATAATTACTAGCAAGTGCAGGGTCATTTTTCTTAAACAGAGGTACAATAAAACTTTCCATCCATGAATCTGGAAAAAAGCCAGAGTTCAGAATACCATTAAAAATATCAACTAAATGCGATGATAAAATATCGGATGAATTTATAAAATACTCATTCAATAACTGGTCACCTGCAAAAGCCTTATTTTTCTTTAAATGACGAATAACACAATTTATCTGATCAACTGTTATAGGTTCATCTAGCTCCTCGTACAGTACATCATTACTAAAAAAATCTAAATTTTCACAAAATAATTCACTTTCGGCATGCAAAACATTTGGCAAATCATTACTTAGGGTAGAAAAATGCTCATAAAAAGCTTCTATGGAAACACTATTCTTATGTATCGCCTTTTTAGTAAACAATATCCAAAAATCCTTAGGTTTACAGTGACAAAGTCGTTCAATTTCTCTTTATTTTTTTAACTCATAACTACGTTTCTTTTTTTAACAACATTTTTATAAATTAGTTAATTTTTACAAAATTCTATTCTATTTACATCATTTTTACACATATTATATTTATATACAGAATTTAAATATACCTCTTTTGAACGATTGCAATCTTCATCAAACCATTCCGCCTTTTTACATAGTTTACCATCGGCACGTGGTGTAATATATGTTATTCTACGTTTACAAAATAATGGATCTGCCACGCTTCTCACAACATTTACAAAGGATTCTATACATGAATTTAACTGTAATCTATCGTTAAAATCAACTTTTTCGGTAATAGTATTTAAACGTGGTAGTTGTGATATAAGACCTCTACGGAATTCGTTCCGTAACTCGTCATTCCATCGTAAACTAATGCTTTCATAATAAATATCATTATTCTCGTGCAATACGTGGCATTTAATGGAAAATAATATAGAAGCATGATCAGACCATTCATTAAAACTCTGTACAGAGAAATCGCTAACTAAACTGAAATATTGCTCTTTCAACAATAGATAGTCAATGACACCAGATCCCGATGAACATATATAAGTATAGTTTCCATTATTATAGTCACGACCAAGCCTACCATTTGCAATACGTAAAGAACTAGCCTTGCATACATGTAATAATTTAATACCCGAGTTATTATGTAGACAGTCCATGGACACACGTTCTTTAGGCATGTCGGGGTAATAATCTTCATAGTCTGTAAAACTAACGGTACGATCACAAACAATATAATCCTTGCGGTCTCCATTACCTGTACGTGCATTCCAATCGCCAGTTTACAATGTAATACCACGATTTTCATAAAGTAAAATACCATTTTGAACAATATCAAATAAATCACCATTGATAAAGTTATAAGCAGGGGAACCTTCCACCCATATATATACACCAGCTAAATATATGTCATCTGTAAGATTAAAAAATATTTTATCAAGTTTCAACCGAATGATAGTGTCAAAATGATTCTGTACAACGGTTACCCCTTTATTTATTTCATTTTTAATGTATACTAATACCCCACCACTAGATCGCTTTGCACGTCGGTTCTGAAATTTACGATAGAAATTAAAAGTTGTATACCCATCTATATCAAAATTAGAATTTTTGTTACCCCAAGTCTCAAACAAAAATATAATATCGTTATTACACAGTTTCTTTATAAAATCATTGTCCTCTAATTTAGATCTACTAAGTCCATTTACATTCCATGATAATATGGACAGTCCAGCCTCATCGAGTCCCTACTTCCGGTTCCCGTTCTGCATCTGGCTTCTGTCGGACTCTTTATCGCTTACTGGTACCCCGTCAATAAAAAGCGTGTCGTAGGCTAACCAAGCTTGACGAGCTTGTTTTTTGGCATTTTTAAGTTTCGGTAAGAGTGATTTTCTCCGTGCTACAATTTCCGGTGGAAATTGCTCGTGAAGATAAAACTGAGTGTCATTAAGCTTGGTTCTTCTGAGGCGACGCACCATTTCTCTATCTTTGTAGAAGGCAAATTTGGCAACTATTTTGCGTGGACTACCGCTACGTTGATTATAATCTCCCATGCGATGGACACGTTCGAACTGTAAATTGTCCGCTAACTGCTGAGCGATGTTCAAATGGTCAACAAAGAATCGGCGTAAAGTCTGCTCTCTATTTTCCCACGTTTCTTGTTTAGGTTCAGGAATATTACCAAAAATTAAATTGTTACGCATGCTTTGTGACTTGACATACAGTAAATCGTCCTTGACCTGAGCTTCAGTTTGATGCATTTGATCCAATTCGCTCTGTGCCTGACCAAGAGCAAATTCAAGGCTATCTACCCTCGAGTCAATTTTAGATACCTTGTCATCCATTTTTAGGTTACTATCATGTACAAAAGTCCATAATTTTTTAAGGTCGATCTCAAAACTGCTCACCTTTTGCTCAAGTATGTCCAAGGTATTGAGACGCTGGTCAACATGATTTAGCTTCAGCTCTATTCTTCGCAAATATTCAATGATAGCATCCGTATGTGTGTCAGTGCTGGTAGAAATATCCGCCGGAATAGGGAGCGGGGGCACTGATGTCAACGGAGGTGTTGAATTAGGGGGCGGGTCACTGATTAAGGAATAATAACAACACGCTATTAGCGTTATGTAAAGTTTCTGCCAAACTAGTATTACAGTCTATTTTATCCGGGGGCGACCGGCCATGTCTAGGATTTTTTACCTGTTCCCCACCCGTATTGTCACTGCTATGTTTACGCTTTTTATCCGATTTATATCTATATAATATATTGTAAGTACTAACCGACTAAACATCCTTAAGTTTTTAATGTGGATTATTTTACAAGTGATGGGTGCAAAAAGAACTTGCCAATATTTTACTTTAAAATTTACACGTACAGAAAAAACAGCAACATTTAAATTACCTATAAGGTATAATAATAATTATATTTTTGCATGGAAATAGATATTGTATAATAATGCAAGTTTTTCGTTCAAATGCTTTGTAATTAATCACGAAGGCCTATCGGCCTTCGTGATTTATATTACTACGCATTTGAACTCAAACCATGTATTATTTTACATTCTAACACGACTGAAAATAAGTACGGAAACAAATCAGGCGCAATTTTGCTTAATATCAGGTACAGCAGCAATTTATTTGTTGATGCCGTGTTAGAATCGAAAATAATATATCCAAATTGGTGATTTTTATTGCTTGATAACATCACTGTTTGTCGTTCGGATGCGCATCATTATAACACTCGGGCTACGCCCTCGTGATATAATTTGTCGCATCCGAACTCCAAAACATTGATGTTATTGAGCGATAATATCACTGTTTGGCCAAATTTGGATATATTATTTCTTAAACAGAATTGATATCTATTTTCTAAATTTTATATTCATAACATACAAATGTGCAAGATCATTTCACTATGTTTGAGTTGACTGAGATTATGCGACAAAAGGATGATAGTGAATTTGCTGAATTGTTGAATAGATTACGTCATAATAAATTGACAGACAATGACAAAAAACAAATCCAGCATGTCAGTATTGGATTCCAAACTCTGTAACATATCCACAATAATTGCACCACAACATATTTTGGCTGAAAATTCCCTTTTTTGCATTTATGAATTAATGAGAAAATTATTAATAACATTAAATTCTCAAGAAAAGTTGAAATCCCTTGTCCTTGACTCTATTGTTGGTAAATAAAAACATATCAGAAAATATACAGAATGAAAATTTTTGCAAAGAATACCAAAACAGATACTAATTTACTACAAATGGGTTTGCGAGTTTACAAAGTAACTGTTGTAATTTGGGATTTAGAAATATATGAACTTGACTGTTAATAAATAGATACTGAAGATGGATAACAAATGGCGCATCATGTGTCGTTTAAAACATATATAGAATATAAACAAACAGAAACCAATAGACCCAGTAATTATTTGGGTAAAAGTTTGGACCCGATGCCTCGAATTTTGGCAGTTGAAAGACGAAAAAAATAATCATGCTAGAGTTTTTTAAATAATGACTGCATTAATTTGGAAGTCTGGACTCCCACATCCTTTGACATAGAGCGAAAACATTTCCATTACAGACCAAGAAAACAATAAAATAGAAATTTCAGTTTCCCAAATTACAAACCATCTGCAGGAAAGAACCCTGTTCATTTAGAGCTCAGGGAACTAAATCTTGATCAAAGTTGTAATTGATTTTTGTCACAGCGGAAAAAGTCCAGAAAAAATTCCACATATCCACTATGTTCATTTAAGCAGGGTAAGATCTCTATAAGGAATCTCTCAATATTGCAAAACTTAAATGAACACAAGCAATATCTTTATAAAGGTGTTGTTGAAGAAAATGCCAGAGGACTTAAGTTTCTGAAAAGCTAAGAATTGCAACTATATTATATTCCACTTGAATACAGTAAACTCTGATGAAAATTTTAAAATAGTCTACAATAATTTTGTAGATCTTTGCACAAAAACATTTTTGAAGATGTGTCTGTGGACCAAAAAAATATCTTGTCAAGCACATGTAAATTGGGTTTTTTCTGAAACAAGATTTAGTCCAAAGAGATGAAAATTCAGATTATTCAATTAAGGATTTCAAACTTTTCAGAAATGAAATCAAAATCAAATGACAACCAGAGATTCAGACCCCCTCATGGTTTTTTAGCCTTGTATGGTAAAAGATGAATTGTCATTGTGTCTAAATTTCCCAATGCTATAGTTACAAAGGACCTTGAGTGGATTTCCATAACATGCAAGATTATATGGATAAAACAAATGCAAATTGTAATGGTGTAAAAATCCCCTGGGCGTTCCACTTCACAAACTTAATCTCAAATCTTGAAAAAAGAGCTTTTTCCTCACATTGACTTCCGGTAAATCATTACTTATCATGGGAGACCTTCAATATTGATTATTTTCAGTAAATGACATCAAATCTTGAACATTTTATGGCTAAAACATTTACTTATGTGAACAAAAAATACGAGAGCCAAACAAACAGATCTAGGGTCAACATTAGATCTGGTATTTACAAAATTGCAATGGGAAAATTTTGTACTAATAGAAAACTTATTGGTCAATCATAAATTAATCTTACTTTTATATATAAGTTCATAAATTTTTCCTTAAAACTGCCTTATGAAATGTCCTATGGTTTCACATGCTGCCTTTCAAAATACTATCGACTGGTCTTAAATCATATAAATTTACTTGTAAATAGTTTAATGTATGTTAAAAAATAACTGCTTTCATCCCACTTCTTAGCAACCCTTTGTTGGGTCTTTGTGCATATAACAATAGCTTATTGCATTTACTGTATTAATATAGAACGGGTTTGGGGTCAGTTTTTAGTCCAACACCTGAAATAAAGTCCTGCGGAAGCTGAAAAACATTTTTTCAAATGCAAGTTTTGCATGCTTTTTTTAAAATGTATTTTAAAACAATAAAATCGTTCAAGAAACAGATTTAGGATTCGATTGCAATATTGCAAAAGGTAAAAAAATTAGAGTTTCTGTCCAAATATAAAACAACGTTTTTAAACATTTTTTGTCACGTGACTTCACAGAGTTGCATCCCTTTTTCCCGCGTTTTTTAGTAAACAAAAGACGTAAAAGATGGCTTCCCGCAAGAGAAAAAGTTAAAAGCTTAGAACAAAGGACTTCATTCCATAAACATTTTTTAGCTTCACAAAAAAAATAAAAAGAAAAGAAAAGACAATAGAAAAACTCATTAACCTGAAAAAACATTGGTCTGCCCAATTGTCAATCATCCAATTTTGTTTGTCCGGGGGATTACTCAAAAGTATTAAGATATTCAACTTGAAACTTTATAGATTGATCACATTGAAAGAAGTGCAGTGCTATCGTTTGCATAATGTTTAAGTCATTTTTTCATACTTAATTCTTTGTGGTAACAATCTTGTCAAGAACATTTTGGACAATATTATATAGATTCGTTTCCAAGTAATTTTTCAATATGTTGATTCTTTGTTGCCTTCAAGTACAAACGTATTCAGGTGAGCGATACAGGGCCATCATGGCCCTCTTGTTTAGAAGAAGATTTTTTAAGTTTTTACTATATGCATATAGGGAAAATCAATGACCCCCTGGGGCGGGGCCAATTTTGACCCCAGGGATTTATTTGAATAATCTTGGTAGACACTCATTAGAAGATGTTTCATGCTTAATATCTTAGCTCTAGCTCTTTGGGTTCTTTAAAAGAAGATTTTTTTAAGTTTTTACTATATGCATATAGGGAAAATCAATGACCCCCTGGGGCGGGGGCAATTTTGACCCCAGGGATTTTATTTGAACAACCTTGGTAGACACTCAATAGAAGATGTTTCATGCCAAATATCTAAGCTCTAGCTCTTTGGGTTTTCTAGGAGAAGATGTTTAAAGTTTTTTCTTTTGGTTGCCATGGCAACCAGAGTTCTGCATGGAATGGAATTCTTTGAACAACTTTGTTAAGGCTTCACACAAGGAACATCTCTGTGAAGTTTCATTATGATCTGCCTTATGGTTTCAGAGCAAATGTCGTTTGAAAAGTGTGAACGGACAACGTACGACGGACGACGGACGAAGAGTGATCCTAATAGCTCACCCTGAGCATATGCTCAGGTGAGCTAAAAAGCACCCCTTTATATATGCTCTATGGAGAGTTAAGCCGCTACCCATTAGAAATAGAAATAAAAACTAGAATGATTAATTACTGGTGTAAACTGATTATGGGTAAGGAAAATAATGTAGCCAGAATATGTTATGAAAACATGCTTAATTCAACGATTAACTTCAAATGGCTGCAACACATAAAAGATATTTTGAATAATACTGGTTACATATATATATGGGAAAACCAAAATAATATTAATTTAAAGAATGTTGGTATTCTTATCAAGCGCAAATTGTTAGACCAATTCTTACAAAACTGGAGCTATCAATTAACTAACACCTCAAAGGGATTAAATTACCGTCTCTTTAAAGCTGAATTAAACTTAGCACATTATTTGATTAATTTACCAAAATAACTTAAGATCGTCACTTTTCTACTTTAGAACCGGAAATCATAGGTTGCCAATAGAAACAGGTAGATGGAGACAGTCATTTGTCCCTTACGAGCAACGTAAATGTCGCCACTGTCAGCTCAACGATTTGGGAGACGAATTCCATTTTCTCCTTAATTGTCCTTTTTCCAAGAGTTAAGAACAAAATTCATTCCGAAATATTATTATACTCGACCAAATATTATCAAATAGATAAATAAAGAATCCCTAAAGAAGGCCCAACACGGCAAAATTGAAAATGTTGCAGGCTCGGTTTGATTGAGCCTGTTCATGGA